TTCATGGCAACTTAATTTGAAGTGAATTTGGACCAAGTCATACTTAGGCCAAAGATATGAAAATGATTCTGACAAGCCTGGTTCACGCACCCAAAAGTTTTCAATAACGCATGGTGAGGGTTAGAATAATTCGTTTTCACTTTTTGGCGGGACATGCAGAAACAAGATGAGGCCGCATTCAAGGTTTGAGCTGTTGCTCAACACAGGACTTCACCATATAATACTCTTGCTTTGCATGAAAATATTATAATAAAATAGATTTTTAATATTTATAAATATTTAAAGACTGACTATTTAAAATATCTAATTTAATTTTAAAAACAGACCATCACAATAGAAAATTCATATGATTTCTTGGTGATATAGAGATGTAGAATCTATTGAAAAACAGAACGTTGAATTTAAATATACCTATGTCTAATTTATTTATCCCACATTATTCATTTATAGCTATAAAGAAATTTATTTATTAAAATAATTGAAACTTAATTTTTGATTGTCACCCTTGTTGCACTTGGGAGATAGCGTGCACACTCTCCAACTCAAGGCCCCCGGCAATGAGCAAGAATGAAAACAAGCCATCATTTTGCAAGAGATGCTTTAAGCTAGGTAGAGCTGCTAGAGCATGAAGCTGCAGGCAGTATCAACTCCAATATATATACAGGCAACAATATGGGACGTTGCAATGACCATCAGCAAACTCTCAGACTAAACGCTAAAGAACTATCCCACCTTTCCCTTGCACATGCCCATAATCACTCTTTACCCCATTGCCATCACCCTGTTGCAGCTCTTGCTCCAGATAATCTGAGGCTGCACCACCAAGGGCATTTAACCAAGCAGTCACCAAAGTTTCTACTTCTCCTGGCCTGAGATACACAACTGGAAGAGCCTGCACCTGGAAAACTAGAAAATTTAACTCATCAGGGTTGATAGTATATATGTTATTTCTATATTTATAATTAAAGCACATCAAGGTCATTCTACTTGTAAACTGCACAATAAGGCTGTACTCCCTACTTGTGAGCCACTGCAACCCCAAGGCAGAGAGCATCTCCAACCCACCAGAA